CGTATGTCTACTCTACCACCGGGCAGCATGAGTGCATCATGCGTAGACTCGCCTCGCTGGCTTTGACGTGGCTAGCTGGGAAATCAAAAGCAGTGAAGCTGCAGCAGCACAGGGAGTGGAATGGGCTTGCCCCGCCTACATAGGGTCCTGGGTACGAGTGCAAGCGGCTAATCTGCGCCGTTAGCAATCACATCTCCTGCTTGCAGACGGACCCTAGGGGCTTTCGCAGCATCTTGTCCAGTGGAGCCCAGGTCTCACCTGGGGCCTCTAGCATGACTGTAGCATGGATAAGAATAATCCAAGCTGCTTAGAATCATAGAATCCTAGGATTGGAAGAGACCTTGTGTTCTAAGACACACCCTGCTAGATGCTACACTTCCCATAGCACCTTCCCCTGCTCTTCCACATTCTGGCCCTGTCTTGAGCAAGGAATTGGGCTGTGGCTTGCCAGTTGGGCATGTTTCCCATAGGGATTTAAGGATGACACACTCACCCCCGACCCCCGGACCTATTCTGACTTGTCACTGATACACAGCAATGGATTTGTCCCCAACGATGAAACCTGGATCTCAAGATTGGCCCACAACATTTTGGTACCTGAGGCAGGGAGCTCAAATGATGCTCCCATTTCCCCTCACTTGGGCCAGCAGCAGACACAAATTTCTTCACTCTGGGTCCTAGTGGCACTCCCTGCTCCCGTGCCCAATCTGGCACCTGAGGCGGCTGCCTCAGTTTGCCTCATGGTAAGGCCATCCCTGCTGGGTGTCAAACTCATCTCAGGTGTAACTACTGACTTCAACCGAGCTGGATCCAGGGTTGCCTTTAGTCCCTGGTATTTTTACCCATTGGCAAAGTTATTGTTGTTTATTTTTTACAGCTCCATACTGCAGGTGGTTCTGATGCATTTCCAGGCAGAATATTCTGCGAAACAGTTACCTACAGTGCTTTCCAAGTTGGCACAGTCTAATGGATCAGAAAATCCACTTGGGCAAATATGCCCGTCTGTGAATGCACTTTCCCAGTTCCTGTTCACTTTCTCTTGACTTCAGCGGGACTTCAGAACATGCTTAAAGTTAAGCAGATGCCTAAGTGCCTTCTTGAATGAGAACCTCTGGGGTTTGCCTCTCGGGAGAAAAACCTTCCAATAGCCTATAGCTTTCTTCTCTTCCTTTGCTCAGCTGCTGCATAGTGTCGCTGGGCACTGTTAAGTAGTTGTCATATTCTACTCTAATTCGATGGTTCATGAAGTGATTTATTACTCTCTCCTGGGTACTCCGTAAATAGCCCCGCATCCACAGGCATTTGATACACTCTCTGCTTTGGGATCATAAAACCATAGAATCATAGAGCTGGAAGAGACCTCAGGAGGTCATCAAGTCCAGCCCCCTGCCTAAGGCAGGACCAACCCAACTAAATCAGCCCAGCCAGGGCTTTGTCAAGCCGAGACTTAAAAACCTCTAGGGATGGAGATTCCACCCCCTCTCTAGGGAACCCATCCCAGTGCTTCACCTCACTCCTAGGATAATAGTTTTTTCCTAATATCCAACCTAGACCTCCCCCACTGCAACCTGAGACCATTGCTCCTTGTTCTGCCATCCATCACTACTGTGAACAGCCTCTCTCCATCCTCTTCGAAACCTCCCTTCAGGAAGTTGAAGGCTGCTATCAAATCCCCCCTCACTCTTTGCTTCTGCAGACTAAACAAACCCAAATCCCTCGGCTTCTCCTCATAGATGATGTGCTCCAGCCCCCTAATCATTTTGGTCTCCCTCCACTGGACCCTCTCCAATGTGACCACATCCTTTCTATAGTGGGGGGGGAGGGCCAGAACTGGACACAATATTCTAGATGTGGCCTCACCAGAGCTGAATAAAGGGGAATAATCACTTCTCTGGATCTGCTGGCAATGCTCCTCCTAATGCACCCCAATGGTCCATTAGCCTTCTTGGCTACAAGGGCGCCCTGTTGACCCATATCCAGCTTCTCATCCACTGTAACCCCCAGGTCCTTTTCTGCAGAACTGTTACTTAGCCATTTGGTCCCCAGCCTGTAACAATGCTTGGGATACTTCCGTCCCAAGGCAGCCAGATTTCTTTTGGCTCAATCCTCTAATCTGTCTAGGTCACTCTGGATCCTATCCCTGCCCTCCAGCATATCTACCTCTCCCCCTAGCTTAGTGTCATCTGCAAACTTGCTGAGGGTGCAACCCATCCCTTCATCCAGGTCATTAATAAAGATGTTGAACAAAACCGGTCCAAGAACTGATCCTCAGGGCACTCCACTAGAAACCGACCGCCAACCTGACATCGAACCATAGATCACTACCGATTGGACCCAACAGTCTAGCCAGCTTTCTATCCCTCTTACTGTCCATTTATCCAATCCATACTCCCTCAACTTTCTGGCAAGAATATTGTGGGAGACCATATCAAAAGCCTTGCTAAAGTCAAGGTAGATCACATCCACTGACTTTCCCATATCTACAGAGCCAGTTACCTCATTATAGAAACTAATCAGATTGGTCAGGCACAACTTGCCCTTGGTGAATCCATGTTGACTATTCCTGATCACTTTCCCCTCTTCCAAGTGCTTCAAAATGGATTCCTTGACGATCCCCTCCATTATTTTTCCAAGGACTGAGGTAAGGCTGACTGGTCTGTAGTTCCCTGGATCGTCCTTCTTCCCTTTTTTGAAGATGGGCACTACATTTGCCTTTTTCCAATCATCCGGGATCTCTACCGATCTCCATGAGTTTTCAAAGATAATGGCCAAAGGCTCCACAATGACACTTGCCAACTCCCTCAGTACACTCGGATGATTAAATCCTTCCAGCGATATATCCTCTTTTCCCAATGGCTTGTGTTTCCATGAGAGATTTGTTCCTTTATTGCAGAGATGACTTCATTTGTGAAAGGAGACTAATCCAATAAAAGCCAAATTGAAGTAAAGATTCTGGCGCAAGCCAACGTGTGTCAGGAATCTCAGACAATCCTTAACTTTCCTCCTCTGGCCTCTGGCATTGGAGGAGTCTCTGTGCGTGATGGCAGGTGCCTATGAGCTGCACCCTGGGTCAGATAGATACAAAACTGGGCATCTAGAGCCCTGTTCTGCCTGCAGGACCCCACCCCGAGTTGAATAGTGGCAGACAGGTGCATGTGAGGAGGGAGGTTGTTTTACCTGCAGAACAAAGCTTCTGTAAGTAGTTAGGTGGGCCTGTCCCTTCCCCCTCCCCCTCCTACCTCACCCCACCCCGGTCAGTCGCCACATCCCTTTGCTACAGTCACTTCTGAAACCAGTTAAGTAAGTGGGGTGAGCATTAGTTGTTTGGGGGGCCCAGGTATAGTGGGGTTGGGTGGTCAGCAGGCAGGCCTCCTAGGCTTGAGTGGCAGAGGGGACCACAGATCCACCAGCTCCACCACATCCCAGCCCAGGTCCCTAACAGTGGCAGCCAGATGGGCGTCAGGTTCCCCTGGGCTACTTCTTCACCTCCCCATTGTCCCTACCTCATCCACCGGCCATCTTCCATCTCCCCCAGATACACGGTGAGCAGCAGTCCCAGCAATTCCTCCACATCGGGTGCGTCTCACAGTCCAGCGACCAGGACGGTCCCCTGGGGTGGCTGAAGTCCTCTATGGCTCCGGAGCCTGTGCCATGGTCTGGCAGAAAAGGCACCAAGCCAGGGGCAAAGCTTCCGTTCCCAGAGTGCCCAGTCACTTGGACAAATGGTTTCCTGTCTCTGTTTCCCCTCCCTGCCCTTGTCCAGCTTGCCCATGGACGGGATCCCTCTTGGAGGGAGGCGCTGTCTCTTCTCACCTCTTTGCACAGTAGGATCCTGGAGGGGCAGCTGTTTGCTATGAAGCTACTTGTCATTCTCTGGTACAGAAGTGACCGGAGCGGGGATTCCATCTCCCTGAACAGACTTAAGATGCCTCCAGTGTTCCTTGTAAGCTGGGTACTTGTGTGGCCACTCAGGAAAGAGTCAAATGCTACCTGGCCAATTAGCAGAACACCTACCATTAAGGTTTTTTGTTTCTACTGGTGGTGCACATTTGCACATGCCTTGGTGCATATAACAAAATTTATTCCTCACACGAAAGGAAAAATTCCACACATGAATGGAAAAGAATGAATTGGCCGCCTCCTACATGCCACTGAGTTCACCACAGCCTAGCCTTGGGTGGGAGCAGGGAATGGGATTTAGCGCACAGGAAGAAGTGTAGCTTTTAGATAAATGTTATTTTGATGCAGAAAAGATCATGTCTGTGTAGCAGGCATACATGTTTTCAAGCCACAAGTGTTGCTAGAGGGGGCTGATTATCTGCTGTCGCTAGTGATTAACTCCCCTGCCGCAGTTTGAAGTAAGTAACCGATTGTTTTTAAAAGCTGAGACAGGAGGATTTTGTAAGTGAAGGGCAAAGTTCCAACAGCCCCTTTCCTGTGAAGTTAAGGACAAATGGAGCAATTTCATCAGTATTCAAGTGGAAACAGTGCTGGCATCCCATTAGATGTGGCTGCTTAGATGTAGCAAATGCAATGTCAGGAGTACAGGGCCAATTTATTTCCTTTATATTTGTTTCTAATTCTTACTTTGCTGGAGCAGAAATCAACCCCAACTACCAAAATAATTGAATAGGTCACTTGCCTCCAGAGCTGGGATTTGTGCATCTCAGTGATTGCTCACTGACCCCTGGCTGAAGGGAAGGCAGGATGGTCTAGTAAATAAAGCACTGGATTAAGACTCAGAATTTGGGGTCAGCTCCTGCTCTGACACAGATTGTCTGTGTGACCCTGGGCAAGTCGCTTAATCTAGCCTGAGTCTCAGTTCTCCATCTGTAAACTGGGGATAACAGCTCTGGGCAGGCATCTGACCCACACAGTCCCTTCAGGCCAGCTGCGAGCCTGGTGGGAAATTTCCCAGCATAGGGGACGCAGCATTTCAAGGGTTCCACAGCAGTTCTTGTGCCAGTCCCTGGAGGTCGTGGGGTGTTGGAACCGCGGGCATGGTCAGCGAACTGCCATGCTGTGGCTCTTCTCAGCAGCAGCAACAGCCCCTTGTGGCCCGGAGCAACCAGTGAGGGGAGCCCTAGCCCCTGCAGAATAAGAAAGAAGAACAGGTGACTTGAGCCACCTCAGGTCTCAGCTTGGCCACCAGGCTGACTTGGGGCCCAGGGCTCTCCTGGCCTGGCTTGTTCCTCTGAGACAGCCGCTCTGGAAAGCAGCCTGGCGACAGACCATCCCTCCATTTCCAGTCCCTGCTGCCGAGACCCCGGGCCCAGCCCGCTGCTGACGTGCAGGGCTCTGTGGTCACTTTCCAAGCCTCCCCGTGTCTCCGCTGTCGGCTACATACAGCCCGCTGCTGACGTGCAGGGCTCTGCGGTCACTTTCCAAGCCTCCCGGTGTCTCTGCTGTCGGCTACATGCATAAAACATCCTGCTGTGAATTGAGACTCCATTTGCCCAGCAGTACTGTCAGGGGAGGCCCAAGAGGACCTTAAAAGTGTCTTGTAAATCTCAGCCTCTTCCTCTTTACCTCCCACTCCCTCAGTGGCGGAGCACAGCCTCCCTGCCTCCCTCCCGGGTTCCCCCTCTGCCTTTTCTGGCATTTTGAGTGACTGAATGTATTGCAAAGTCACGGCCGGGCGGGCTCGTGTCAGACCAAGGCCGGGCTGGGGAGGCTGGGCACCGGGGGGACGCTGGGCAAGCTCCGTTTCTCTCTGCCACATGGCACCACTGGGGTTAACTCCAGCTCAGCTTCCTCCTTCCATGGCACAGGTGAAAGGGCCCCGGAGGAAAGGCTGGGGAGGGAGTCGTTCCCACCTCAGCTAGCCCTAATTCTGGGAGGGGCGAGGGAGGCCGCTTGGCCCCCATGGCTGGCCAGGGTGATGGGGAAGTGGGCCTGTGGGGAGGGTGCTTCTGAGATGGGAAGGGCCCAGCCACACCAGGGGGAGTTTTCTCTTTATTAAGTCACAGGAGCACCTAGAAGCCAAGCTCGAGGCCCCATTTCACCGAGCGCTGTGGGAACATGTGTAAGGACTGTTTGAAAACAAGAGCCAATTCCGGCCCTCCTCAGGGCTTGTCCACACGGCACGCTAAGCCCGAGCTGCCCCGGGTGCCAGGGCAACAGTTCAGAGCCTGAGTCCCACTGCGACTCCAGTCCAGCCCTGATATTCTGCCATGCAGACTCCACTCAAGCGGCAGCCCCGAGTCAGAGGGCCGGCGTAGCGCAGTGCGGATGCGTTAGCGCCGCTGTGAGACCCGGGGCCGGCCCAGCTTTGCAGTGCAGTGAGGACACTCCAGCCCGCACTTGGAAACACCAGGTAGGTCTAGTACATGGAGATCCCAACCCACCAGCAGTCCCAGAGCCACCGTCCTCAGACTTCTGCTCCTGGGGCTTGCGCTGGAGAGCGAAAAAGAGTCCTGGAGACGCCCTGGGTCGGTCTGGACCTCAAGCTCTGAGGCCAAGGGAGGCGTGTGGGTGTCAGAGTCTGAGCTCCAGACCAAGCCAGATTGTCTAGCTGGCTATTTATAGTGCTGTAGCCCAAGCCCAAGTCTGTAGACACAGGCTCTGAAACGCGCTGCTGCACTGGGGGGTGGCAGACAGGCATTTAGACCTACCCCAAGACCCACAATTGCGATGGTTTGTTGCTGTTCCTTCAGCCATTGGATGGTTTGTTCCTGTTTCTTCAATAAGGCTTCTTTAAAATACCGCCCAGTTCTCCTGGGTTCCTTTCCCCCTCATGTTAGCAACCCAGGGGATCCTGCCCACCAGTTCTCTGAGGGTGTCAAAATCTGCTCTTCTGAAGTCCAGGGTGTGTGTTTTGCTGCTCTCCTTTCTGCCTTTCCTAAGGATCCTGACATCGACCATCTCATGAGTGATGATCACTGCTTACCAGGTTGCCACCCACATCTACTGGCTCCCGTATTAGGAAGGCAGGATAAGGGACCCATAGGAGATAGGGTAGGTGCTGGAGTGGCTGAGGGGATAGGGCACTTGCCAGGGAAGCACAGGGTGGCTGGCTGGCTCAAGTCCCACCTAGGGCCTACAATGCAGTGTAGACACACCCCATGAGTTTACACACTAGTAGATAACACAGACAAAGGTCACATGGGGGGAAGGTTGAAACAAAAAACAGAACTAGGCAGCACTTTAAAGACTAACAAGATGGTTTATTAGGTGATGAGCTTTCGTGGGCCAGACCCACTTTGAAGCCATTAGCCCTGAGTCATGCAACAGAGCAGCGAAGAAAATGTGGCTCTTCTGATGACTCCAGACTGGTGGCCTATCCCCTAGACAAAACCAGCTCTGTTTGTTCTCCTGCTCTTTTGTGTTTATTTTTGATGACTTGGTACAGTCCTCTTCAAGGCAAAGATCTTGCTGACCATGGCTTGTGGTCTCTGCTGAAATGAACAGTTTTCTATGGGCTAGAGAAATGTAACAGGGCTCTCGAGAAATTGCTCTAACCTCTGATAGCATTTAATAGAGAACTTGACTCTTTTTCACACATGTTCTGAATAGCAGGGCAATCCTTCTGCAGTCTGGGTTATAGGCCAAAGTCTCTGGGTCTGTTATGTTCCCTGTTATAGGACTGCTGTCTTTGCGGTTCTTTACCACTGTTCATCACTGGAGACAGAGTGCTATGGGGTTTTTCCATGCGCTCCTTCACATTGTGGCTACATCTAGACTGGCATGATTTTCCGGAAATGCTTTTAACGGAAAAGTTTTCCGTTAAAAGCATTTTCGGAAAGGAGCGTCTAGATTGGCAGGACGCTTTTCCGCAAAAGCACTTTTTGCAGAAAAGCATCCGTGACAATCTAGACGCGCTTTTCCGCTAATAAGCCCCGATCGCCATTTTCGCGATCAGGGCTTTTTTGCGGAAAAGGACTTTTGCCCGAATGGGAGCAGCATAGTATTTCCACAAAAAGCACTGATTTCAGACAGTAGGAAGTCAGTGCTTTTGCAGAAATTCAAGTGGCCAGTGTAGACAGCTGGCAAGTTTTTCCAGAAAAGCGGCTGATTTTCTGGAAAAACTGGCCAATCTAGACACAGCCTGTGAGTCTTTGTGGCATGTTTTGTGGTGTCCGTCACCCATCTGGGGCTTGCTGGTTTCAGAGCCTTGTTACTGGTTAGTAGAGAAACAGACAATAGCATCTGGAGCCTCTGTTCAAGTATCTAAAAGGGTGTTCCAAGGAGGAGGGGGGAAAATTGTTCTGCTTGGCCTCTGAGGCTAGGACAAGAAGCAATGGGTTTAAACTGCAGCAAGGGAGATAGAGGTTGGACATTAGGAAACACTTCCTACCTATCAGGGTAGTTAAACACTGGAATCAATTGCCTCAGGAGACTGAGGAATCTCCATCACTGGAGATATTTAAGAGCAGGGTGGATAGGCATCTATCAGGGATGATCTAGAGACGGTGCTTGGTCCTGCTGTGAGGGCAGGGGACTGGAATCGGTGACCTCTCGAGGTCCCTTCCAGTTCTAGTGTTCAGGGTTCTGAGACCTGCCCCGTCACTGGGTTCCAGAGCCTGGGCCACACTCCAAGTGGGGACATCTCCACAGCTATTGTAGCACAAACCGAAGCCAGTTGACCTGGGCTCTGAGACGTGCTGCCGTATTTCGGGGGTTGGGGTCTTGGTCTCCTGGTTTCGTTGCTAGTTCACCTGGAACAAATCAACCTGTTCATGCCCCCACCTGCACTAGGGAATGCCTGTAGCAAACAAGGTGCTCGGAATTATTTTTGATGACATTCCTTACTGTGGACAGAGCTGCCTTGGGATTTGCCTGGTTTCAGCTCCAGGGAAACCCTCAAAGCCCAGACAAAGCCCATGTAGACACCTGTTTAAAGCCTTTGCGCTCTCCTACAAGGTGCTATTGCAAGAGTAGGGGGCAGTGGGGTCCCTGCTGGGTTTAAAAGTCCCAGCAATCAATCTGAGGGAGAGACTGAGCCCAGTGCCCCTCAGCTCCAGGGAAACCCTCAAAGCCCAGGCAAAGCCAGTGTGGACACATGTTTAAAGCCGTCACGATCTCCTGCAAGGTGCTATTGCAAAAGTAGGGAGCGGTGGGGTCCCTGCTGGATTTAAAAGTCCCAGCAATCAATCTGAGGGAGAGACTGAGCCCAGTGCCCCTGGACTGGAGCAGGTGAGCCTAATGCAGCTAATGAAGGAAGGTTGCCTGGTCTATAAAAGGCAGCTGAGAGGAGGGTTATGGGCAGTCCCTGGTGCTCAAGGGCAGATTGAAAACACAGCGCTCTGGCTGGTGCACCAAGTGGGGAGCGGAGCTGGCTGAAGTGAGGATGCTGAAGGGAGCCGGAGTGTCAGAAGCTGTTGGGAGGGGTGACCAGCTGGCCAATCAGCTGGCCTAAAGCCTGGGGCCAGGTACCAGCTTAACTGCACTTGGGTTATTTAACCTTTGTCAGCAAGGAAAGAAACCCCCTTGCCTGCAAGCTTGTGTGTGGCGCTTGGTTGCAGCGGTGGCTGCTCTCATGACCCCTCTGCGTCCCAGTCGTGTGATCCCCCGTCCCGCACACTCTGGAAACAGCAGGTTCGCTTGTGGCCAGTGAAAATGTGAAATGGAGGGGGAAGTGGGGGAGATGTTGGGTCCAGGGCTTCCTCCCTGTGTCCGACATGGGATCAGCTTGCAGGTGGCATCTCAGTCCTGCTGGGCCATGGCGGGGTCTGCTGCAAGGCAGTCCGGGAAGGTGGGTTTCAGAAAATGAGACACTGCTCATGATCAATGAGGTTTTTTAATTATCCGAACTCTATCAGCACTATAAAAAACTACAATATAATATTATAACTGGGCATTAACCTGCAGCCAGCAGCTGCCCTTGAAGTTCACTGCAACCAGATTTCTCCCCTATTAAAAATCTTAAGGGGGGGGACCACCGTACAGGTGACTTGGCCTGGGCCCAGCACCCTGAGGGACGGCCCTGCACATTGGATCAGTGCAGGGGGCATGTAATCTCATAGCCTGGACCTGAGAGCATCCAGCACCAGCGTTTGCTCTACACGGAGCGCTTGGGTGGCTGCCCAGGAGCGATTCAGATGAGGCCCAGCTGATCCGCAGCGCGCCAGCAGCCTTTGTTTCTGCTGGTGGTGCTCATGCCTCAGTGCACATAACAAAATTTATTCTGCACGTAGATGTTAAAAATCAGAGGGAATGTTGGCCAGCACCTCTCGGCACCTCAGCATGGGGCTCAGCTGGTATAAAGCGCCAGCAGCCTTTGTTTCTGCTGGTGGTGCTCATGCCTCAGTGCACATAACAAAATTTATTCTGCCTGTGGGTGTTAAAAATCAGAGGGAATGTTGGCCAGCACCTCTCGGCAAGTCCCCCCAGCACGAGACCGGGCTCCCAAACAGGCGAGGCAGAGCGAGGGGGGAGCTAGCATCCCAGCCATGGAAATATTATGGGGGGAAGGCCGATCTATATTTCAGCCCCCACATGTCCTCCGTATCTGGAGAGAGTGTGAGGTGGGGCAGCCCGGGCCCCTTCTCTTCTGCTAAAGCTCCCTTGCTCCTGGAGGCAGGACTGAGCCCAGGCTGGGTGGGGAAGCCGTGGCCAGGCAGGGTGGCAGGTCTGTCTTCCCTCCAAGCTGGAAGCTGCTGCCAGATGAGCCAAAGCAGCCACAAGAGCTGGGCAGACAGCTGCTCCATGTGCCCAGGGCCGGGGAGCGGGGACCCCTTGCACCCACACTTGACTGTGGTCTTCCTCAGTTTGCTGTGCCCCTCTGGGGCCAAGATGAATGCCTGCCCCATCCTCCGGCTGCCCCAGGCATGGCCCAAGGCCCTTCTGTGCCCTGGGCTCCTTGGCAGGCTCTGCTCGCCTCCCATTCCTGGTGGGCAGTGAATGTCCACTGTGCTGTCTCTGCCCACGGGCGTGTGTCTGCGAAACCCGCAAAGCAGCCTCCAGCTGCAGGCACGTGCTGCGCCGCCCCATGTCACGGAGGCCTGGGAGCAGCTGGTCGGCCCCGTAAAGTGAATTAAATAAAATGTAACTCCAGAATGTTGTCGGGCAGCCCTCTGCAGTACGAGGCAGGAGAGGAAAGCAAACCGGCCCCGCTGGATCTCCAGGCCCCCAGGTGGATGGGGGGGGAGGGAGGTTTTTAACTAATTTAATTATTGGAGGTGTTAATTGACTCTGTGCTTGGGAGGCTTACAGTAAGGAGCAGCACCTAGGCGGAGGCTCTTTCATGAGCCTGACTGGCAGAGGCAGGCAGGTTCCCACAAGTGCCAGTCTCTGGATGGTGTAGCCCTATCCTGGGCCAGCCTCCTTCCCTCGGAGGAGAAATGGCCCCGTGTCCAGACTGGTTGTCCTCGGCTGCCCCGGGCTGGGTGACTACAGGCGTCCTGCTCTGGGCTGTGGTGAGGCTGGAGCAGGAGTTGAGGAAGAGCAGGTTTTGGGCCTTGTCTCTGCCAGGGGCAGGCTCCTGGGAGACCAGAGGAAGGGGCCCCGAAAGAACCCTCTAGAGAATGAGTACGGCATAGCCTGCCTATCAGAAGCTGCTTCCTAAGCTCACCCCATGTTTGAGGAGGGGGGTGTATGTCCGGAGACACAGACAATCCCTTCGGAAGCACTTGCATCCTGCCTAACGTGACTGAGGAACAGGGCGGAGCTGCTCCTCAAACACGGCACGAACATACAGTAGATGTGGCTCCAAATACTGCGGAGGAAGGATGGCCCAGTGGTTAGGGCACTTACCTACAACTCCGGAGACCCCCCTGGTACCAAGGGTTATGTGACCAAATACAGCCTCCTGCCCACAGCCAATCCCTCAGTCCCCTGGGGCTTTGCAGGAGAACTAGGCTGGTTAATGCCCGTGTCTCTCCTCCTTCCAACGTGCTTCCCTCTGGCCCTGCTGCCCTTTCAAGTGATTAAGCTGCAAAGATGAGCATCTGCTTAAGAGCCCACATTGTGGGCTGTTAAACAGCTGTTGTGATCTACTGCAGAAGTGGCTGCATTTTGGCAGATGGTACCCAGATTGGGGGTCCTGTACCAGTTCCGTGCAAGGGTGAGGCTTGCTCCAGCCGTATTGGGTAGGTGCTTGGACTTTGCTGAACAGATGGCTCCATAGACGAGCAAGGCTTTGGCATTATTGATGCAGACGTCTGTGTTGCTCTTGTTTCCCTTCGGCTCTGGCATTAATTTCCCTCTTCTCCTGGACTCTCCCACAGGCTCTGAAAGGCTCCAAGAAGCTGAACCTGTCGGTGCATTCGGTGGGGCGGATCCCTGGGGGCTATGTCACCAATCACATCTACACCTGGGTGGACCCCCAGGGGCGCAGCGCCTCCCCACCCGCCGGCCTGCCGCAGCATCAGAGCAGCTCCCTGCGGAAGGACAGTGAGAAGAGGAGCCACCTGCAGCTTCTGCAAGAGGGGGATGAGAAAAAGGTGAGCGAAGGGGCAGATATTCAAAGCCCTGTAGCCATGGAAGTGCAAGCCCCAGCGTCATGCAATCATTCAGCTGGAAGAGACCTTGGGAGTCATCAAGTCCAGCCCCCTGCTCTAGGCAGGACCAATCCCAACTAAATCAAACCAGTCAGGGCTTTGTCAAGCTGAGACTTAAACACCTCTAGGGATGGAGATTCCACCCCCTCCCTAGGGAACCCATCCCAGTGCTTCCCCACCCTCCTAGGGAAATAGTGTTTCCTAATATCCAACCTGGACCTCTCCCACTGCATCTTGAGCCCATTGCTCCTTGTTCTGCCACCACTGAGAACAGCCTCTCTCCATCCTCTTTGGAACCCCCTTCAGGAAGCTGAAGGCTGCTATCAAATCCCCCCTGTAGGAGTGGGGGCCAGCCCGCCCCAGTCAGATGCATGCTTAGCTGCCCCCCCCCCCCCCCCTTACGTTCCCCTGCCCGGGGTTGGTCCGCAGTATTTTTCGTTTGCTCTGCCCCGGCGCCTGACGCTTGGTTCGGCTGTTGTCCCTGGGATGTGCGGGTAGGGGGGCCCGGGCCCGCCCTCTCTCACGGGCCCCTAGCCCAGGGCCCTAAGGACACTCTACGTCCGGATTCTGTCCGACTGGTGGGATATTCGCTGTAACTCACCAGTCTGCCGGCACTCCTAAGGAGCCTTGCCCTGGCCTGCTTCCTACCTTCGAGGCAGGGGCTGCCTCCGCAGGGTGGAGGCTGCCCGTGTGACGGCGCATTGGGGTTTTCCCGTCTCCTGCACCCCCGTAATGGCACGAACAGCCTCCACCAGCCAGTAGAATAGAGGGAGTTTATTGCTTCTCCAGGATACAGCACAGATGTAATCTGGTTACAGGGCAGGCCTAGATGCCTCAGCCCCCCTTGATATGGGGAAGTCTGGGCTCCTAAATCCCAGCCCCTTGCGTAGGCTGCTTCCTCCATGATATCAGACAGAGACTAACTAACTCTATTCCAGCCCTGCCCCCCAGCCAGCATTCCACCTTCCTTTGTTTCCCTCCTTGGGGGGTAGCTGGTCAGACAGGTTGAGACCCCCTCTTTGCATAATGACTCATCCCCTGCCCTGCTGGGCCGCGCTGCAGCCAGTGGAGGTAACTCACAACCCACTGCCCAGCATAGCAACCAGCAAGGCCCCCCCCACTACGTCACTCTTCTCTTCTGCAGACTAAACAAACCCAAATCCCTCAGCCTCTCCTCATAGGTCATGCGCTCCAGCTGCCTAATCATTTTGGTCACCCTCCGCTGGACCCTCTCCAATGCGTCCACATCCTTTCTATGGAGCCAGGGGGAGAGCGCAGAACTGGACACAATACTCCACGGCTACGTCTGTATTGGCAAGAAGTCACCTCTAGGGATGGAGACTCCACTACTTCCCTAGGTAACCCATTCCAATGCTTCACTACCCTCCTAGTAAAATAGTTTTTCCTAATATCCAATCTGGACCTCTCCCACCACAACTTGAGACCATTGCTCCTTGTTCTGCCATCTGTCACTACTGAGAACAGCCTCTCTCCATCCTCTTTGGAACCTCCCTTCAGGAAGTTGAAGGCTGCTATCAAGTCCCCCCTCACTCTTCGCTTCTGCAGACTAAACAGACCCAAGTCCCTCAGCCTCTCCTCGTAGGTCATATGCTCCAGACCCCTAATCATTTTGGTTGCCCTCCGCTGGACCCTCTCCAATGCGTCCGCATCCTTTTTGTAGTGGGGGGCCCAGAACTGGACACAGTACTCCAGATGTGGCCTCACCAAAGCCGAATAAAGGGGAATAATGACATCTCTGGATCTGCTGGCAATGCTCCTCTTAATGCATCCTAATATGCCATTAGCCTTCTTGGCTACAAGGGCACACTGTTGACTCATATCTAGCTTCTCATCCACTGTAACCCCCAGGGTGCTTTTCTGCTGAACTGCTACTTAGCCAGTCGGTCCCCAGCCTGTTACAATGCTTGGGATTCTTCCATCCCGAGTGCAGGACTCTGCACTTCTCCTTGTTGAACCTCAGCAGATTTCTTTTGGCCCAATCCTCTAATCTGTCCAGGTCCCTCTGGACCCTATCCCTGCCCTCCAGCATATCTACTTCCTCCTCCACCTGTTCCTCCCAGAGCCAGGGCTGGCCCTTTGCTTCTCTAGGTCCTGTGCCATGGCCCTGCATGGCAAGACTGTTCCAAAGTGCCCGTCATTCACTCTGCAGGACAGAAATCCCTGCAGCTGGAGACTCAAAAGGAGCTTGGCTTATTTACTTTAACCAAAAGAAGGCTGAGGGGGGACATGATTGCACTTTTTAAATATATTAGAGGGATAAATACCAAGGAGGGAGAGGAATTATTTAAGCTTAATACCAATGTGGACACAAGAACAAATGGATATAAGCTGGCTAGTAGGAAGTTAAGACTTGAGATTAGACGAAGGTTTCTAACCATTAGAGGAGTGAGGTTCTGGAACGGCCTTCCAAGGGAAGTAGTGGGGGCAAAAGATCTATCTGGTTTCAAGATTAAACTAGATGGGTTTATGAAGAGGATGGTTTGATGAGATAACAGGATCTTGGTAACTAATTGACCATTCATTATCAGTGGGAATAGGTCAATGGAGGGATGATAGGAGTTACTATAGAGAACTTTCTGGGTGTCTGGCTGGTGAGTCTTGCCCACATGCTCAGGGTTTAGCTGATCGCCATATTTGGGGTCGGGAAGGAATTTTCCTCCAGGGTAGATTGGCAGAGGCCCTGGAGGTTTTTCGCCTTCCTCTGTAGCATGGGGTACAGATCACAGCTGGAGGATTCTCTGCATCTTGGGGTCTTCAAAGTATTTGAAGGCTTCAATAGCTGAGATATAGGTGAGAGGATTATTCTAGGAGGGGTGGGTGAGATTCTGTGGCCTGCACTGTGCAGGGGGTCAGACTAGATGATCATAATGATCCCTTCTGACCTTAAAGTCTATGAGTCTATGAGGGCAATGGAGAGGGGGACCCCTAGATCTGATCCAATCCCCAAACTCACAGCTTGGTTCTGTCAACTCTCCCTGCGATATTCTCCCGCCTCTGATTTCCTTCAGTTTTGATGTTGATGGTGTGTCTGCACTACCAAGGTTTGTCACCAACAGCGGCCTTGTGGCGACAAAACAGTGCGCGCGTTCACACTGCCCTGTGACTTTTGTCCTAGTCGGGATGGGGAGGGCGGTGGGTAAACCCAGTTCAAAGACAAAACTTCCACCCCTACAAAAGACTTTTTTCTTTCCCCTCCCTTTATTGTCCAGAAAATGCCAATGTGGCTGCAGCAGTTGGTTTTGGCCACAGAAGTGGCTTCCGCCAGTATCCCACAATGCCTGTCTTGGAGCAAGTGGGAACCCCCCTCTGGCGACTTTTTGTTTCATTGACTTTTGGGTGATGCAAATTTTGTCAGCAAAACTTGGTAGTGTAGATGCCCTCGCCTTCAGCTCCATCTACTCGGGGTCCTTGTAACTGCAGAGTCCTGCTGATCTGAACAGGGATGAAGCCAGCCAGGTCCTGATGAAATATAACCAGGTTCAATGGACCTCAATAGACAACAAGGCCCTCCTTCTGGGCTTTGAGAATCAGACTCCTGGGTCGAACATCCATGTGCCAGTTCCTTTCCTGGACAGGGTGGAGGCTCTTTCAGATGCAGATAGGAGGGTCTGACACTGCTGATCCAACCAGAATCTTCCTGATTATTTTCAGGAAGAACGGCATTGCACAAGAGGGTTTTTCTTGCACAAGAAGGGACAGTGTAGACTGCTCCGTCTTGCGCAAGAGCCTCTTCTGCAAAAATGGCGGCGTATTAGATATGCAAATGAGCTCGGCGATATTCCACGCTTAGCCTCATTTGCATAGCTCTGGCGCAAGATCGTACCAGTATAGACATAGCCTAGGTGTGTGGGTTACAAAAGTACCGTTATTTGTGGAGAAGCTCTAAGGCTGAGTCTCAGAACCTGGATCAACGCCTGGGGGCTGTGGGGCTAAAGAGAGCAGGGCAGATGTCCCCTCTCTAGCTGCAGCCTGGGCTGTGAAACCTGGTGAGTGAGGTGGCTATCGGCAGAGCTGTGGGGACCTGCCATCACCCCAGCATTGTGGGGGGCTGAGCTCTGCTTACCAGAGGAGGTCAGCTGCCTGTGCCTTGGCAGGCCACTGTCTGCTCGTGCTGAGGCCTCTCCTTGTCTGCTTGAACTGCCCCAGGCCCCCCGACTGCTAACCCAAGAGGCTGGCGTGGCCTGGTGCCTCTGAGGAGACACTTGGGAGCTAGCACCTCTCCTGGCGGTGAGGTAGAAAACTGTATGAGGGGAGGCAGGAGCCATGTTTGGCTTCGCTGAGGAAATATTTGGGCCAGCCCCATGGAAGAAGGGGTCGTTCCTGTCACAAGCCGAAAAGCAAACAGCCATGGGGGGGGTGGAGGGGGGAACTGACTCCAGCATGTCCCTCCTCCCTGCTTTGCATCCCTTTGATGTGGCTCTGGGAAGCAGCAGGTTGGAAGTGATCCTCACGCACCCTGCTCTCCTCTGGCCTTTCATTTCCCTTTCTCGTCTTCCTTGGGGGTGAACTCAAAAAGTTGAGGAGGCCTGAGCCGTGCACACCTGCCATCTCTGCACCTGGCCCGCTGCAGTGCGAGGCTACAGGCTAAGAGCTGGAGGAAGGGGTGGGCTGCCGCTTTGCTGAAGTTCCCTCATCCCTTCCTTCCTCCCTGTTCCCCCCCGCTCTCTCCTGACTTTCAGCACTTGCCTCGAGAGCTAGTCCATTATTGCTGCTGAAGAGCATTATGCCGGGGTTCTATGGATATTACTCTGCCCTCTGAGGCCAAAAAATTGAAGCCTCATCAGTATGCAGAGTGGAAGAAGGCTGTGAGATGCTGCGTGCTCTATTACATTCAGTGCTGCCCAGCAGACTGCATACCCAAAGGTGCCTCGCCCGGCCAGCTAACCACTGAAGACAGCACTGTAATCATCACAAGCTGCAGC